CCCCGGCGATGGCAGAAAACAAATGGGCAGTTTCTTTCACCATGATGCCCCCTGTTACCTAGCAGTAAATAGGTACCTGGGAGTTAGACAGCTGCTACGGGCTGCTTCCTCTGTGTGTGTGTGTGTGTGTGTGTGTGTGTGTGTGTGTGTGTGTGTGTGTGTGTGTGTGTGTGTGTGTGTGTGTGTGTGTGTGTGTGTGGGGAAGGAGGGAAGGTCGTTGATTGACAGTTGAGAGGTGAGCCGAAAGAGCAGAGCTCTACCCCCCCCCCCACAAGCACAACTAGGTGAATACATGATCAGCATAAGTCTTCATCGGTTATTCGCTCTCCAACACCCTCCCCCCCTGGTGGTGGTGAGTGTACTGAAGATGGCAGGTGGTGTGGGGCCTCTACCAGGTAGCTGGTGGTGGGGGGGGGGCCTCTACCAGGCAGCTGGTGGGGGGCCTCTACCAGGCAGCTGGTGGGGGGCCTCTACCAGGCAGCTGGTGGGGGGCCTCTACCAGGCAGCTGGTGGGGCCTCTACCAGGCAGCTGGTGGGGGGCCTCTACCAGGCAGCTGGTGGGGGGCCTCTACCAGGCAGCTGGTGGGGCCTCTACCAGGCAGCTGGTGGGGGGCCTCTACCAGGCAGCTGGTGGGGGGCCTCTACCAGGCAGCTGGTGGGGGGCCTCTACCAGGCAGCTGGTGGGGGGCCTCTACCAGGCAGCTGGTGGGGGGCCTCTACCAGGCAGCTGGTGGTGGATGATACAGAGTACTGTGTTCCTGCAGTCATTGTTGTTTTACGGGAACACGCACACCTCCCGTCACACTAGGAGTTGTGTGGCATACAACTGGCCATGAAGGTGTGTAAAGCGACCTACACCGCCCAGGGAGGTGTGTAAAGCGACCTACACCGGCCAGGGAGGTGTGTAAAGCGACCTACACCGGCCAGGGAGGTGTGTAAAGCGACCTACACCGGCCAGGGAGGTGTGTAAAGCGACCTACACCGGCCAGGGAGGTGTGTAAAGCGACCTACACCGACCAGGGAGGTGTGTAAAGCGACCTACACCGACCATGGAGGTGTGTAAAGCGACCTACATCGACCATGGAGGTGTGTAAAGCGACCTACACCGACCAGGGAGGTGTGTAAAGCGACCTACACCGGCCAGGGAGGTGTGTAAAGCGACCTACACCGACCAGGGAGGTGTGTAAAGCGACCTACACCGGCCAGGGAGGTGTGTAAAGCGACCTACATCGACCATGGAGGTGTGTAAAGCGACCTACACCGACCAGGGAGGTGTGTAAAGCGACCTACACCGGCCAGGGAGGTGTGTAAAGCTACCTACACCGGCCATGAAGGTGTGTAAAGCGACCTACACCGGCCATGAAGGTGTGTAAAGCTACCTACACCGGCCAGGGAGGTGTGTAAAGCGACCTACACCGGCCAGGGAGGTGTGTAAAGCTACCTACACCGGCCATGAAGGTGTGTAAAGCTACCTACATCGACCATGAAGGTGTGTAAAGCTACCTACACCGGCCATGAAGGTGTGTAAAGCTACCTACACCGGCCATGAAGGTGTGTAAAGCTACCTACACCGGCCATGAAGGTGTGTAAAGCTACCTACACCGGCCAGGGAGGTGTGTAAAGCTACCAACACCGGCCATGAAGGTGTGTAAAGCTACCTACACCGGCCATGTAGGTGTGTAAAGCGACCTACGCGGACCAGGGAAGTATGCAGTGTGACATAGAACAGGCGAGGAAGGTATGCAGTGTGACACAGAACGGGCGAGGGCAACCTTGCAAAAATCACCAACACATACTGGGAATACACACAAGTGCAGATGGCTAATGTTGACCTTGACAGGAACTTTTGTTGGGAAGGCAAACCATCGTTGTTCCTGGTGGTGGCTTGCTCGTTGGTGGCCGCCCGCCTCGTTGTTCCTGGTGGTGGTGTGCTCGTTGGTGGCCGCCAGCCTCGTTGTTCCTGGTGGCGGCGTGCTCGTTGGTGGCCGCCCGCCTCGTTGTTCCTGGTGGCGGCGTGCTCGTTGGTGGCCGCCCGCCTCGTTGTTCCTGGTGGTGGCTTGCTCGTTGATGGCCGCCAGCCTCGTTGTTCCTGGTGGTGGTGGTGTGCTCGTTGGTGGCCGCCAGCCTCGTTGTTCCTGGTGGTGGCTTGCTCGTTGGTGGCCGCCAGCCTCGTTGTTCCTGGTGGTGGCGTGCTCGTTGGTGGCCGCCAGCCTCGTTGTTCCTGGTGGTGGTGGCGTGCTCGTTGGTGGCCGCCAGCCTCATTGTTCCTGGTGGTGGTGGTGTGCTCGTTGGTGGCCGCCAGCCTCGTTGTTCCTGGTGGTGGTGGCGTGCTCGTTGGTGGCCGCCCGCTTCGTTGTTCCTGGTGGTGGTGTGCTCGTTGGTGGCCGCCAGCCTCGTTGTTCCTGGTGGTGGTGTGCTCGTTGGTGGCCGCCCGCCTCATTGTTCCTGGTGGTGGTGTGCTCGTTGGTGGCCGCCAGCCTCGTTGTTCCTGGTGGTGGTGTGCTCGTTGGTGGCCGCCAGCCTCGTTGTTCCTGGTGGTGGTGGTGTGCTCGTTGGTGGCCGCCAGCCTCGTTGTTCCTGGTGGTGGTGGCGTGCTCGTTGGTGGCCGCCAGCCTCGTTGTTCCTGGTGGTGGCGTGCTCGTTGGTGGCCGCCCGCCTCGTTGTTCCTGGTGGTGGTGTGCTCGTTGGTGGCCGCCAGCCTCGTTGTTCCTGGTGGTGGTGTGCTCGTTGGTGGCCGCCCGCCTCGTTGTTCCTGGTGGTGGTGTGCTCGTTGGTGGCCGCCAGCCTTGTTGTTCCTGGTGGTGGTGTGCTCGTTGGTGGCCGCCAGCCTCGTTGTTCCTGGTGGTGGCGGCGTGCTCGTTGGTGGCCGCCAGCCTCGTTGTTCCTGGTGGTGGCGGCGTGCTCGTTGGTGGCCGCCAGCCTCGTTGTTCCTGGTGGTGGCGGCGTGCTCGTTGGTGGCCGCCCGCCTCGTTGTTCCTGGTGGTGGCGGCGTGCTCGTTGGTGGCCGCCCGCCTCGTTGTTCCTGGTGGTGGCGGCGTGCTCGTTGGTGGCCGCCCGCCTCGTTGTTCCTGGTGGTGGTGTGCTCGTTGGTGGCCGCCAGCCTCGTTGTTCCTGGTGGTGGTGGTGTGCTCGTTGGTGGCCGCCAGCCTCGTTGTTCCTGGTGGTGGTGGTGTGCTCGTTGGTGGCCGCCAGCCTCGTTGTTCCTGGTGGTGGTGGTGTGCTCGTTGGTGGCCGCCAGCCTCATTGTTCCTGGTGGTGGTGTGCTCGTTGGTGGCCGCCCGCCTCGTTGTTCCTGGTGGTGGCGGCGTGCTCGTTGGTGGCCGCCAGCCTCGTTGTTCCTGGTGGTGGTGTGCTCGTGGTGGCCGCCCGCCTCGTTGTTCCTGTGGTGGCGGCGTGCCGTTGGTGGCCGCCAGCCTCGTTGTTCCTGGTGGTGGTGGTGTGCTCGTTGGTGGCCGCCCGCCTCGTTGTTCCTGGTGGTGGTGTGCTCGTTGGTGGCTGCTCGCTTGTAATGAATGTGGTGAGTGATAGGGGGAAAATAAGGGGAGAGATGAAAACTTTAACGTAGAAGAACTGTGCTGGAGGAGTTGGAGAGGAAAGCGGGAAGAAGTGAGGAGGCAAACTAAAAGTAGAAGGGAAAGAAATTAAGAAAGATAATTAATACGGGAAAGAAAAGACGCTAATAATAGAAGAAAAAGAATTGCTGTCACCAGCCATTTAACAATTTATAGACAAAAATCTTTCCAACTTGTTATCTACGAGAACATTAAAACTTCAATTGATGAAATTTAATAGGTAGAACGTCGGTTGTAGGAGAGGGGGTGGAGTGGGGTGGTGTCACGTTCCTAGGCCTCGTTCCCAACCACGCCTGGGACAGAGTCCTTCCTGACAAGCCGAACTCAATGTCAGGGTGGATTCTCCCTATCTCTCTAAACTTGCGCGGGTATTTATCTGGGGCTAAGGAGCTAGGTCACGCCTACATGAGAGAGCACAATCTTTCTACAGAACAATGGACAGGCGGCGTACAGGCGTCTCGCTGCAATTATCAGCTTAGCATCTTTCGAGGAGTAACTGGTCACCATAAGACCTGACCTCTGGGTCATAGTGCGACCTTAGCACTCCGAGGTGCGAGTTTCCATTGTCTAGTGACAGACAGTCTGGCGTCGCCGTTTCCTGTCGAGCTACACCCCATTGCTCTAGTGCTCTCAGTAAATATATAAATAAAAAACATTTACGGTGATACACGCCCCTTTGTTTCCCATACCCATCTTGTGGGCGGTAGTGGAAAGGGTTACAGAGGCTCATTTATGTGCCTCTGTAACCCTTTCCACTACCGCCCACAAAATATGTGCATAATAAATGAACTAAACTAAAACTGGGTGGCGGCGGCGTGCTGGTTCGTGGCCGCACGCCTTGTTTCTGGTGGCTGCGTGCTGTTAAAGACGTGTTGGGTCTACGTGTATTGTAGGCTGTATGACCAAATGCTTTCCTTGGAGAAGTTAATCTTTGAATTATTGTTGTTCATACTTGTAGTATTGTAAATACTTCTAGTAATACTATAATACTTATTGTAAATGCGCCAAAACTTGTGAAAGAATCACCAGTACCCAATGTAATTCTTGCATGTGTAAGTTTTTATTAGGCATTCATCGTTTTCTGATTTGTAAAGGGACTGGGTTTGCGAGAACGTACCTTTTTATACACCAACATTGGTGTGGAGCCCATTGTGCATTCATGTAGATATTAATTTAAAATAAACATTAAATATATTATCATTCCTCCTGTTGTTAAAATTTACCACTTCACAGTCATAATTCGCTGAAACAAATAATTTAACATTTTTGCGGAAAGAAAGTAGACACAATAAACATTTGATTATTTACCTCTGATTCTTGCTGAATAGGCCACCACTGTCTGCCACTAGTTAGCTACGTTGTCCGAGCTGACAATGACCAAAGTGATTATGTGTGGCATTGTTAGTAATACATGTTTGTGTCGCTCAGGTGGCGAGGTGCGGTGCCACTGTAACCTGCCGAGGTGTGTCACTATGGGCTACATGTGCAAGAGCCTCCTGGGCGCCTGCTTCACGAGGAACACGCCCACACCCACTCACGCCTACACTCAGGCCCGTAAGGTCTACCACCGCTGGGCACCCATGCACGGCTGTGTCGAGTTCCTACCCATGTAAGTGTCACCTGTCTGTACCCCCTCCCCCCCTGTCTGTCTGTCTGTACTCGCCTAGTTGTGCTTGCGGGGGTTGAGCTCTGGCTCTTTGGTCCCACCTCTCAACTGTCAATCAACTTGTGTACAGATTCCTGAGCCTATTGGGCTCTGTCATATTTACATATGAAACTGTGTATGGAGTCAGCCTCCACCACATCACTGCCTAATGCATTCCATCTGTTAATTACTCTTGACACTGAAAAAGTTCTTTCTAACGTCCCTGTGGCTCATTTGAGTACTCTGTTTCCACCTGTGTCCCCTTGTTCGTGTACCACCCGTGTTAAACAGTTTATCTTTTATCTACCCTGTCTATTCCTCTGAGAATTTTTTAGGTAGTAATCATGTCTTCCCTTACTCTTCTGTCGTCCAGTGACGTGAGGTGCATTTCCCGCAGTCTCTTTCTTTCTATTTCGTGCTCTCTCTCTCTCTCTCTCTCTCTCTCTCTCTCTCTCTCTCTCTCTCTCTCTCTCTTTCTTTCTTTCTTTCTTTCTTTCTTTCTTTCTTTCTTTCTTTCTTTCTCCCTCCCTCCCTCCCTCCCTGCCCCCTCCCCAACGTGTATTAGAACGTAAGTTTACTGAATGAATGTTGTTAACTTTTACATGTGAACAATCAGTATAATAATACTGGTGGTTGTGTTGGCTCAGGGGTCGACATGTGGAGTGCGCCAGGAAGGGAGGAATAAAGAGTGTGGAGTCGCCTGGTTCTCCTACCCCCAGCACCGCTCCCCAGCCGGACCCCGACCTCACCTGCTGCAGCCAGGACATGTGCAACTACCGCGATATTGACGTTTACATCCAGGTGGATGGCAACTACGACAGCCAGACAGGTGAGAGACAGCAGACAGATCCCTCAGCCCACCTCCCGTCTAGGGAAGTTGAGTGACGATACTCACCTTCGGAGATACTTACTGTATATGCTATGCAACGAGTCATCATATTTGTCTTTTAGGAAATTGACTTGTGTTGATTCCCCATTCAATCACTATGGGCATGATTAATTACACTTATTACGCCATCCTGCACTCAGATCGAACCATTTAAATTTGTTCTTTTCATTCTAAATACAAATATAGTATTGAATCTCAACCTTGGCAGTTTGAAAAATTATTTTTGTATTGTAAATTATCTTGGAATTGATAAAACGTGTTTAAAATACGGTATTGTCTTATTTGCCTGAGTTGTATATCAATGTTGCAGATATGAAGAGACGGGACTCTGAGATGATGGAGACACTATGGTTCAGAGCTGCAACTATAGCAGTTCCCATAGCAGGAGGCTTTATCCTGATTGTTTTAGTTCTCCTTGCTAGTAGAATGCTGGCTAAAGAAAATAAAAGACAAAGAATGGCACAGGTAAATATCAATTTAGTAATAAGATATGGGTAATTATTTTTATGATTTATTATATTTTGTATCTGCCGATGAAATATACCACAGTACATAATTTGTGACCTCAATTTAATGGATGCTATAACACATCTCTGTTGATGCTGGGTAAACGGGACACCACGAGCGTAGCTCTCATCCTGTAACTACACTTAGGTAATTACAGTATAATCACAGAATTCATGTTGTGGTAGGCATCTTTTCATATGGGTATGCCATAGCACTGTTGTAAGACACTAAACATTATTCCAGTCTAGAATGACCATCAGAAGAAACATTTGCTTAATCTTAACCCCCCACCAGTTCCCTTTCTCCCCCTCCCAAATGATACTTGGCCCTCACAGTGATCACCAAGCATTGCTCTGCTAACTTAATAGGCCCATCTGGCCATTACCCTCGACCTCCAGACAGTGGCAACATAACACATGTCAACAGAATCACAGGGAGTAGCTAACCTTGCATTTATCCTTGAAACTTTTGTTTCTGTGCAATAGGCTTTAGTGAATATTTCACACAGCATGATCACTCATTTTTTTGTCAGGATCTTTTACTTTTATTGGCACATTAGAATTACCTCCTCCGGGCAAAATGAGGTACAGACTGTTTGGTTGTTGTCATTCTCCACCCAAGTTTATCAACTACTTTTGCATTTTTTTTTTTAACTTTACCTTGGTTAATAGTCAACCTGTTGCCTGACTGGGTGTGTATGCTTATCACTGCTGGCAAGCTTGATTCTTCACTTGTTTTCACCTTTTTAATTTGTTCAAGCAGTGGTTTGTTGTGTATTGTCTGATTTTCTGGCCGGTTTTCCTTAGTTTTGGGTAGTTCTTTGACCTCCAAACTCCTCTCAGCTCGTACTGCACAATGAAGCTACAAAGTGCCTACCAGAAAAAGTGCATTTAATCACATTCATTACGTGATTTCTGGCATAACAAGTACTGTATTCTGTTTCATTGAGGTTACATTGTATGTACTGTATTTAATTTTGAAATTTTCATGTAATGCATTGAAAACGTTATCATTAATGAATTCATCATATTTTTAATAACTTTTTTCACTAGGTTATAGGAGAGCGTTATCTGAAAGACCCCTTATATCCTGGGGGTGCTTCAGAGCCCATTCCTCATCATCCAATATATTACCATTCATCTATAACCAAGAATTCTTCCATGGCTCACATGAACTTCAGAGCCTCTTATGATGAGAAACCACCAAATTATAGATCTCCAGAGACAGCTATTTGTAATTTAGAAGAAATTAAGCCATTAAATACTGTTGCAAGCCAAGAAGAACCTTGGGATCAGAGGGATGCAGAGTCTCCGCTACCTTCATGAAGACTATGTTAAAAGAATGTACCTTGCAACCACCAAAGAAATCATTTTTTTGGGGCTGCAAGTTTATGAATACTGTATAGTAGTGGATACTTCACAAGAGTAGATGGTTATGCTTTGGAAAAAATGCTTGTGAGAGTACTGAAATGAAAGGTACTGTACTGTACAATACAAGCAGATTTTGCACTTATGAACTCGGTTGTTTATCAAGATTCACTTCAGCTGCACATCATATTTCCTCGGCTATATTCCTGATAAATGCTGCTTTGTTCAAAGTGGAATGCAGCCTTTAATCTGGAATTTACCTGTTCATATTTAAATATTCTTTGTGTACTATAAACAGAAATATAAATTAACAGAAAATGTGAAAGAGTCATTAATAATCAGTTGTTTTTGGAAGTCAGTATATGTATTAGCATGTCTACATACATATCAGCAGAGAACTTCCTCAGAGTTTTATATGAAAGACAAGTAATTTTGTATGAGCTTAGGTTCATGAGTGCTAGTGAAAAAAATACATCATTCTGTGATTTGTTGCTCAAAGGGGATTAAAAGGACAATATTTTAGAAATTAAGATAGAGCCAAGTAGCGTTTGGTTCATTATACTATACACAATACAGTACATCTCGATTAACTGGCAAATGGTGATCTTGTCAGTGTTCACTTTGACATACCAGACAATTTAACGTTATTTTAATACTGTGATTTCTACCCCATTAAAGCAAAAAAGCTTTCGATTGTTGAGTCATTTGTGTATATGCTACTGTACTTCTGTATCCTTGGTGCTCTCTTATGACCTGTAATGTTTAGTCATTTATAATCAAAGTAATACCATATTAGGCCAGAGTGTTGGTGCAATACCCACATGTGTAGTGATGTTAACATAAATTTAAGAAACCGATTATGTTCAGATGTAAAATAAAGAGGAATACTTGATGTTGATGAATATAGCGGATCATCATGCCTTACTTTTCACAAGTGAATCAACCGCTGTATAACCACTGCACTCTTATGTAATGTGAAGGATGTGTGGACTGTACAAAAATTTACATAATTCCATTGAATCATATGCTATTTGCTGTTTTAAGCAGTATTATTTTCAATCCTAGATGTGCTTTTTAAATGTCAGAAATTAAGTGCTTTGACTGTAATAATTTGAATAATTTTTACCATACAACCAAATTTATTTTTGCTTTGCTGTGAATACATAAAACAGTAGAATTGTACTTATTTTCTGGCTATTACATGTATATATTATAAAGGCATAAAGCCACATCTAGGAATACCCACAAATTAACTGGAATCATAGTCTGTGATATCTATTATTTGCTTTTTGCCATTATCTTTTATGGTATTCAAATGGTGCTTTGGATGAGAAGCTTTGATGTCTCAATGCCTTCCAGAAAATCTCAGGATTTCTGTTAAAATCTTCCAGAAAGTTAATTTTCATCTATTTAATTAAATCTTATTTTATTTGCATTAGACATCTACATTGCTAATTAGAGGCATTCAATTACAGTACTGTACTGTACATGGTTTGTATTTATAAACTCCGTTTGCCTTAAATTTAGCAGTTTGCAAAATTACTTGTACAGTGTATTCAGAACACAATACAAGATATATAAGCAGCAATATTAGGGTCTGTTTAAAAGCTTTATCAGGGGTTTTAGGTTGTTTAAACTCCTTGTAGATATCTTATTCCTTCCTTCCTGGTGAGGCATCCAGCGCAGTAATATATTGTGATCTTTAGGGCAGTGTTAATTGTTCAGTAATTCAAATGACAGTTTATTTTTCCAAGTAATACTGCATAATCCATCACAAGCTGCTGTTTGCTTTTATGAGTGACACGTGTACATTAGTTCCTAGTTTCTGCATTCCTAAAATTTTTGCACCAGGCTAATAAGAGAAATCCATATGTTTTACAATCTTATTTGCTATCCCTTATCTTAAAATTAACTAGAACACTGGTGCTTCTCCAAAACTCACCTTTTAGCAATATTAAATTCAGGAGCATGTGCAGTCTGCTGTGATGCAAATCTCATTGTGGGTTCAACAAAGATTGTGTAGGCCATAAAACGTACTCATTAAGTAAATGCAGTATATTTTATATGTAAAAAGGTGAGATCAATTAACAAATAATAATAAAATGATCAATTCCAAACCAGTATAATTTTTTACAACTACAAGTGAGTTTGTCAGTTCTCTGGTTCTGAAATTTTGGAGGATATAAGTTGTGGGGGTTAAACCACCTTCTATTCCACTTACTATTTATATCATGATGGCAAGGTATCTTACTTTCCTCAAGTTGCTTCATATTTGTTCATATGAATTAATAATAAACTATTAATGTGCTAGGTATTCAATAATTAATTTTGGAGGAATTTTATAGGCAGAACAAATATGCCTAATGTTATGACTGTGTTGTTTTGTAAAGGAAATCAAGTATTTATTACATATCTTAAGACTTTTATTTCACAAACCTATTTTTGGACATGATGCACATGTTCCAAGATTCTTCTCATTAATAAATGTGTATATATTATAATTATTAGCTATTATATTATTATTATTATTATTATTAGTGCACTGCTGAGAGATCCAAGAGTCAATTCCCATGGCAGGATAGAAGTGTCTGAGTAAATGTTCCTTTCACCTGATGCCTCTGCTCTCCTAGCAATAAATAGGTACTCAAAAATTAGGCAGCTGTTGTGAATTTGCATCCTGGGGAAGGTAAGTAGTTAGCCTAGGGGGACCTCGATAAACCTAACGGAATTTCTGTCCCTATGGGAAATATAAGGCGAATCATGGCAACTCTTTCTGAAATATTTTGGTACATATCTGTTCTCTAGCCATTTGTACCGATGGCTTTAAATCTGTAACTGTTGTGTGATTTTCCATTGCATTCAAACACAACATACAGTATAAGGGTATGTGCCCCTCCTCTGAAGCTTCTAGTTTTACCACTGAACAACAGTGGAACCTTGCTTTGTGGGATGGAGCATATTCATTCCATCTGTGATTTCTTTCAATCTGTCAAGGCCCTTGACCATCCCCAAACGACCAATATTTTATACAAAATTTTAATTTTAAACTCTTCCACTATTTTGAAAAGGCCTACAACTACTGTACAAAAATGCATAAACAGGTTTGCCTTAAGATATAAGGGGCATAACTGGCCGACCCCTCACAGTGTTCAAGAGAGAACTGGATAAGCACCTCCAAAGGATACCTGATCAACCAGGCTGTGACTCGTACGTCAGGCTGCGAGCAGCCGCGTCCAACAGCCTGGTTGATCAGTCCGGCAACCAGGAGGCCTGGTCGACGACCGGGCCGCGGGGACGCTAAGCCCCGGAAGCACCTCAAGGTAACCTCAAGGTAAGATAAATCCACACAAAACCATAATTGTATTAAAATACACTATTATTAATTTAAATGCTTTTAAACAAATATTAAAATGTTCTAGGACATTATTAACAAATTTGTAGTTGCCTCTAATACTGTAGTGTACATTTTCATCAATAATCCTAAGTGAAATACAATTTCTGAGTACTGTAGTTTATTGTAGTAGTAGTAGTACATTTTTAACAAGTATAACACTGTACATACCTGTCTAATAGAGTTCACAGATCAGAACAAAACTAAATTTATTAGTAAAATAATGTCACTTTGCACTAATATTTATATTTCTACTATATTACTCAACCTATATTACCTGTATTGCTCATTATCTAAAATTGCATTATCCTGCTTAGTCGTGCAGCTCCGATGTAAATGTCCAGAATTTCAGGATGACTTAAAAAGTCTTCCTTTCTCAATATCCTTTTGAGTCACTTGTCCCTAAACAGAATTGTGGGTGAAACTGATGCCTTTTATATTATTGGTCTTGTCTTTTTACTCACTTATTGGTATTCCTCCTGATATTTGGACCTGAATATCCTGCAGTATTCCTGGCCTGATGCCTAATTTAGATAATTACTTCTACATTTTCTCATAGTTGGAAAGCAGCATGTAAAGGATCTGGGAATAACAATGTCTAATGACCTAATGTTTAGGGAGCATAACCAAGGAAATACTGTATAGCATCAGGCAGAAAAATGATAAGATGGATTACGAGAACCTTCAAATTCAGCATATGAGATCCTGGGAGATGGATTATTGGTGGTACTGGTCTTGTAATGGCAGTTAAAGCTGAAAGCTTTTACTGTACAGTATGTCAATTAACAGATGGTAGGAGACATCATAATGAGGAGCAGACATCAGTGTAGAAAGATGGAGCAAAACAGTGCCACCTTGGAGCTGGATGGTTGTGGAGAGATGAGAATCCTCCCAATATGGATGACAGGATAACCATGAGGAAGTTGACAGTAGAGACATCAAACAAATTCTTTATGCTGTGAGAGTAAAATCTAAGAAGGAATTCAGTGGGTGGGGTGATGGAGTATCTTAACACTTTAGCAGTCCGGCTTCTCTATGTGTTCCCCAATCATAAATGTTTCAGGCCACTCAGCTATGCAAAATATGTTGTCAATCATTTTATGTTTTCTAAGTTATTTGTTGAATTAAAACTACAGTATTGTATAAATTTGGTGTGAAAATGTTTGCAAATGAATTGTCTAGAAAATAGTTGCAAAAACAAGTGAATTTATAATAGATTTTGTTCCTTTCTGTGCATTCCCAAACTTAAACATAGTGGGCTTAGCAGATCCCAATCAGCGATGATGAAAACGTTAACAATTATTTTATATTCTCAGTTATTTACTAGATTATAACTACAAATTCGGTGTCGAAATGTTTGCAAATAAATTCTCTAGAGAACAGAATCAAAAACAAAAATGTATTTAAAATAGATTATGTGCTACAGCAAAGAATATACAAATGTTTATGAATAACAAATGAATGACATGTTTAGCATCACCAGAACATGAAAGTGTTAGAAAGGTAGGAAAATCTTGGTTACTGATGATTCTGATAAGATGTAAACAGGATAGTTTGTTTAAGGAATGCACACACAGTACATCATAAAATGATGGTGCATTTTCTTGGAACTGGGACAGGGAATAGGATGGATACTGTATCGGCTAATGAGAACAATCATATTGCTTGCCTCTTGGTTAGGTGAGGTTGAAGTAAGGAACCAATAAATTCAAGTTAGCACTTGACAAGTGTATAAAAAAGGAGGGGTTCCTATTATATGTGGAGTTTTGCCATGGTTCAGTGTACAGTATATGGCTGACTTGAAAGGCACTACAGGTATTTTGATAGTGCAATACCATTTATCAACAAGAATTTGAGTGCACATGAGGTAAGGACTGTATATAAAAAATAGGGTAGTGACTTGTGGACTCATTGGAAGCAGCAATTAGTACGACTTTAAACTGCTACAGACTAGAGGTCTTAAGAAGGTAGCAAAGAAATTATGGGGACAGGACATATAAGTGTAGATATGCATACATGGATTGCAAGAAATAAATACCTCCACCAGTGTTGGACCTATACTTACAAATGAAGGTTCATTCACAAAGGTACCACATGAAAGACTGGCCAGGAAATTACAGGCCCATGTAATAAATTATAAAATATTAGAATGGATAAAGCAACAGTTGAAGGAAAGAAAACAAAGGGTTGTGCTAAATGGAAACGAATCTGAATGGAGAAATTTGATATGTGGGGTGCCACAAGGATCCATTTTGGGACCTAATCTTTTTGTCATATACATCAACGACACAGATGAGAATACTGTATTACAAACCACATCAAATTTGCAGATGACACAAAGGTGTATGGTCAAGTTGGAAAGGGTAACAATATTGAAGCCCTTCAAAGAGATTTACATGAATTCCACAAATGGTCAGAAGACTGGCAAATACTCTTTAATATCGACAAATGCAAGACCCTGCACGTGAGGCATAACAACCCATGCCACGACTACCAAATAATAGCATTACGTTACAGCAGATTGAAGAAGAAATGGACCTTGGAGTCAAGATCCACCACTCATTAAAAGTTGCACAACAGGTGGGTGCAGCAGTCAGAAAAGCTAATCAATCAAGTGTACTTTTGGTTATAAGGAAAAGAAGGCAATGGTTTAACTGTATAAATCTCTGGTGCACCCCCATTGAGATTACTGTATCCAAGCATGGAGACCTCATTTTTATGACATAGCTGTTCTAGAGAAGGTACTACAGTACACCAGGCAACAAAACTCATTCCACAGCCGAGTTATCTCTCATATCAAGAACGCTTGAAGGCAACACTGCAAACCAGGCATGACAGGGCGGATCTCATTGAAACTTTTAAAATTCTGAACAAGTTACAGGATGTTGATCTGAATATTTTCTTCAGGTCAGATGTAACACAAACAAGAAGCAACAGTTTCAACCTCAACAAGCCAACAATGTAGGACTGAGAACAGGAGATGCTTTTTCACCCACAGTGTTATTAACCCATGGAACCACCTACCCGCCAAAGTCGTAACTGCTAAAACTGTGCTGAATTTCAAAATATACCTGGAAAAGATCATGAAGGTAAATGGGGAGGACCTTTGACAAGCTGCTGGCTTCCTGTCCTCATCGAGACCACTAGGGTTAGTGGCCCTCAGGTACATCAGGTAATCAAAGGACAATAAAGAAATTAGTGAAATCCTAAAAGAACATTAAATGGTAATGTTTAACCCTTAAACTGCACATGGCATACATATACGGCAGGATTTAATGGTACCATAAGTTAAATTTTTCAAACTTGCTAAAATGCTTTCCAATTATTTGTGCATAATCTACTAGCAAATCCTCCAACTGTGTCTAAATGATCACAAACATAACTTGAAAAATAAGAAAATAAAAAATAATTATAAAATTGAATATTAAAAACTTCAGATTTTCAAATTAGCTGCAAAAATATAAAATATCACTAATTATTCATTTGGTGTTATTATGCTCTCAGAATAGCATATGATTTTCATTTTCATAGATTTAGAACATAGGTTTTCAGTTTAGTTTACTGTAAATAAAAAATTGTCAATGTAGCATTTGAAATATGTGCCAAATTTAGACAACAAAATTTATACAGTATAACAAAATAGAGCATAATAACATACTCACTCATTATTATTGTGTTATTATGTATTACTCAGCAATGCTATAAAGGCACCAGCTGCATATCCACTTTGTGGACACTTCTTACTACTGTTCTTCTTTGTGCGTCGAACTGGTTTATTACTGCATTATCATCAGTTCCAGTTAATATGAGCTGTTCTCCTTATCAATAAAACGTTCTTCTTTTTTCAAAAAAATTCGTCTAAAATCCATTTCTGAAAATATTGGGATGAAACTTTCACGACGCTGAAGCCAATAAGTTGGAGATTTAACATTAATATTAATTTTCACATAATTCGAATATTTTTTTTGCCCAGCCCCAGCTTATGTAAAACACAAGAACAAATCCACAAGTGCCGTGACGACGATTTGAACCTGCGTCCAAGAGCATCCCAGACGCTGCCTTAATCGACTGAGCTCAGTCGATTAAGGCAGCGCCTGGGATGCTCTCGGATGCAAGTTCAAATCCTCGTCACGGCCCTTGTGGATTTGTTCATTTGATACATCACACAATTGTGATTTCTGTGTGTTTTGTAAAACACCATTTACAGCCCAGGCTGTAGCAGCTTAAGGGTTAATAATATCAATAAACCACATGAAAGTTGAAGGTCTGAACAGCAGCTTTATGAATGCTATCCAACCCTTGACAATATAACTGATATAGCATATGCACAGCAAACTTTGGAAGAGAAATTGACAACATGCCCATGCACTTAGCCCTGGGTTCTGACACCTGGAATTCAATATTTATATAGAAATTTAAAATATCAGTAGCACGAGTGGTCAGTGTTTCTGAGGTTCCTTAGTTTGAATCTATGGCCTTTTGTTCTTGAAGTTACAGGTTTCAAGAAGTCTTTTTTTTTTGTCAGTACTGTACAGAGTGGCATATGTACCTGCACCACAGGAGAGAATAGTATAGTACTGGTACAGAGAAACAGGAGTCCCAAAGTCAGCCACTTTCCGTCACTGCCACTTTGTTGATGCACTGTCCATCAACTTAATGATCATTTTCCACTGGCATACTGCAGTTAGGGCTAGTTTTCTGTTTTGGATTAATCTCTAGTCATCATGTTCTTTTTTGTCTATTCTAGAATCTTCTAGTGATTTTAGGCGCAGAATCACTAGCAAAGGAAGGAAGGAAACTATCAGGAGAAAGTGACAAGCTATTATGACTATAGTACTTGGAAGAAATCAGGATAAGAAATTGGGATGGGGGAAAGGAATGGTGCCCAACCATTTGGTCAGTTGGGGATTTAACCACTAGGAGAATTCTGCTCCTAGTGAATTCAGAATCACTAGGAGATTCTGCTCCTAGTGTTCAGTATGCATGAGCATGTCCAGAGGCCTGGTAGTGCTCTCTCGCTTTATTGTACCAGAGCCTAATGCATTGGCAACTACTGAGGGGCCAACTCAGAAAAACTAAATTAAATTTAATTAAGATTTTATACAGTATTTTGTATAAATTTATTGTATAATGTCATTTGTCTTATACTTTCTCTATTTACTATCCTAAGGGCTTTTTACATATGCTTACTGACATTATTAAATAGGGGAAACCAATAAACAGGGACTGGCAAATCTAAGAACATTCACTAACCCAAGGCAAATAAATTTTTGTATGCTGCTCATAATTTATGAAACAAAGTGAGCTAATATACAAGTCGGTTGTAGCCAAGGCCTATAAATTAAAATATGGACCAACCAGATTTATCCAGAACTGTGACTTCCAGAGAGCCAAATATGTTTGGTTGGAAAACCATGCTTCTCCTCTCCTAATTACTTAAATTTATGTTTATCTCAACAATTTTCTATTCCCAAAAATACCTTCTATTTACACAGAACTTTTCCTATATTTTTCAGAAAGACTGGTGTCAACCGATTTTTAACATTGGGAGTCGCTGATTCCTTTGCATACAACTTTCCAAAGATGCCGGTTCCATTCAAGCGAGCTTTCACTGTTTTGCAAAGCTCCCTAATTTATTGTGTTACAGAGAATATTATAATTATTATCATCACAATAATAATATTTCTACACACACTTGTTTTACTATCAGGACAAGTGTGTAGTAATTTGGGGGCAACAATTCATATAGTTTTCAAGATATCATTGAAGGTCACCCACACCCACACAAGGTGAGAAGGTGGAGGATTCTAAGACCGTCAGTAATTTAAAAGTGTTATATGACAAAGTGTGTTGGGAAGATGGGACACCATGAGCGTAGCTCTCATCCTGTAACTACACCTAGGTAATTACACCCAATTGTTAACATGGTTTTAAAATCTGTCACCATGGGCTCACCAAGAGCTACATGGTCCAATAACAAGACAGATATTTCACGTACCACTATACATGAAAAGAGTGAAAACTATAAGGAATCCTTTTGGAGGATACATAATTATGGCTTTAAAAAGCAGAAAATGCAAATGTTCTCTTCTTGCAACAGGATTGTCAGTCAAAAATATCAAGCAATCTGACTCAAGGTGCAGAGAGAGCTTCTGCAGGTACAGACAATGTGTCTACAGTACCATGCTTTGTGCACTTTATGCTTGAAGGTTCAGACAAAACTACTGCAACAACCTCTTTCAAGCAATCTATGCTTGATGGTGCAGACTTTTCTTCTATAGCACTCTCTTTTGAGCAATCTATGCTTGGAAGTACACACAAAGCTTCTGCTGTAAACTCCTTAGAACAATTTGTGCTTAAAGGTGTACAATTTCCTTCTGCAGTAAGCATTGAACAATCTTTGCTAGGTGCAAGTAGAGCTTCTGAAGTAACCTCTGGTTTCCCATCAAAAGACTTACACCACTTCTTTAAAGTTTTAGGGTGTGGTAAAGCTGTATTTAAAGTTTTCCTAACAAAGTCATAGGCTCTGCTTGAACAATAGTATAGTGTCAATGCAAAACTTCGAAGTTCAGGTGGATACTCTTCTCGTGATGCTCCTTTTTCTGTTCTCTTTAATAGTTCTGCTGCTGTGCCTGATACAGTCAACTGTAAAAGATAGTTAACATAATATAAACCAAGATTCACATTAATGCGAGTTTCTTGTAATAATTGAATACTGTAAAAGAATTAAGAATAAAGTGACAGTCCTGAACTCCCAATAGTGATTTCATATAGAGAGAGGTTGCATGTCAGAACAGAAAATCACTCTTATGATCCTCTAATGCTCCCTATGCCCCCAGCCCGGCCAGCCGGCCAACCCCTATGAAGGAGGCCAGATTCTGGTTCTAGCGGCTTGCATGCCAAGAAAGTTACAGGAGCTCAGAATGTTGGGACAGCTCCAGGGAGCAACTGAGGGGCGAGCCCAGAAAATACATACCTTCAATATTTGACTCTTTAAAAAACTAAAAGAATATTGCAGTAAAGAATATTAAACTGGTGATTATTATTATCACCAGTTTATTTGTGTTTTTCATTCACATTAAGTTTTTATATAATAAAACGGTAAAATACAGTACAGTACCATGAAAGTTATAAACATTTGCTCTGTTTAATTTACATACCTGCAACATGTCTTCAGGTGCACCCACTGACTTCTTATTTAACAAGACTAATGATCTAAGAGTTTCAACCTTTTCCTTTAAACGACGATTCTTTTGAGTAAGGAATTTTAACTTTTTCTTTTGTTGCTGAACCTTTTTCATTGCAATAGTTAAACATTTTCTTGTTTCTGAATGTGATGACAGAACTTCTTCAGTAAAATCGCCTACATATCTGAAACGTTTACATCGTTTGTTTGGTGGTAATAGTGACACAGCTGTAGTTATTGGTATCGATGGTGATGGCAAGGCTACAGCTACTGGCACTGATGGTGGTGATTGGGGTGCAGCCATTGGAGTAGACTGTGGTGGCAGGGATGCAGTTATTGGTGTTAAAATTATTGACTCAACCTGAGGAGAGGTGTTGAGCATATTTCTGTAAAATAAAATATATAAACTAATTTTCCATTCAGTACAGAGTGCCACCTCATAAATCTAGATATAGCAGAAACCTTGGAAATTTAAAAAGTTATTGCTATTGGAAATACATTAAATTCTGAACATGTTTCCTTTTTTTGTAATGTGTACAGAAAATCCAGACCAATTCAGCCCTGTTTATACTCACCGATTACTTGCATATTTTTTTACTATTTTTTAGGCATTAAATATTAATTAGAAAATACAGTTTTTCCTATATTTTTTTACAATATTTGAACCAAATTAAAAATGATATAATTAATAATATTAATTCATTATATCGGGGGACAGGCAGCCAGAATGTGTCATACACTTAAGGCTTATATCGAGATCTCCCCCACCCTAAAGTCGAATTACTGACCATGCCCAGGATGCAACCCCACAACAAGCTGACTAACTCCTGAGTACCTACTTACTGCTAGGTGAACAGAGAAGGGCATTAGGTGATAGGAAATGTGCCCAACCATTTGTCCTGCCCGGGATTCGAACCCAGAATTCTCGATTGTGAGTCGAGAACAAACCTGACTGTGCTACTGGGGCCCTCAAATATATAATACAGAAGAATATGACATTTTTCTGAGGCTGACCCAATGCTGCTACACTCTGTAAACCTGTTCTAACCATACATGGTCACCTGTGCACTGGTGAGGAACCTCAGGAAAGGGGGGGGGGGGTTCCTCCCAGAAAATGCAACAAAATATCAATAAAATATTTTATACATAACTTTTTAAATGATTTTGATATCAAAATATGCACAAAAGTATGTTCTATTCTTTGCCATACTAATAATAATAATAATAGACAAAAACTCAAAACTGTTTATATAAAATTGCTGAAAATACTAAACTGGATATACATGTACTGTAATGGTGCAATATTTTGGTGAAGCAAAGATGGGTTCAGTACAGCTCCATCCATACAAATGGGAATCCAGTGTATTGTAGTCACATTTAACACCTGAAAAAATTAACTTTCTGTACTCAGTTTTAGGTAAGAACTAAGAAGAAAATTTTGGTCAAAGTTCTGTGAGTAAAATGGTACCTGTTATCAACTGGTGATGCTGGATATGTGTGGTCTGCCAAAAAATGTATTCTTGATTGCTTATTATCTATTGGTGTAGCTGGCTGTACAATAGCTGCAACCATTGGTTCAGAAATTGCTGGCTCAACCAGAGAAGAGGTACTGGGAATATCACTGTAAAACAAAATATATAGTATACTGTAAACAAATTTTCCATTTAGTAGAGTATTGTACTGTAAGTACTAATACGTAGTGCTGAAATTACATTAACACTACTGCATGATATTATATATTCACAAGTTTTATAGATATAATACAGTATTATCCATGAACTATTCAGAGAATTATTGTTAAGTACAGAGGTTGATAATGGAACCTGTTATCAATTGGTGATGCTTGGGTGTGGTCTGCCAACAACTGTATTCTTGTCTTGTTATCAATTGGCATTACTGAAGTGTGATCTGCCAACAACTTTTTTCTTGGTAGTTTCATATCTACTGATAATGCTGAGGTGTAGTGTATCAGTAATTTTTTTCTCTGTGACATGGAATCTATTGGTGTTGCAGTGGTGTTGTCTGCTAACAATTTTGTTCTCGTTGGCCTGATATTTTTTAGTGATTCTGAGGTGTGGGATGTAAGCAATGTTTTTTTTTGTGGCTTGGTATCTACTGGTGATGCTGAGGTATGGGTTGGCAGCACTCTTTCTCTCTGTGGCCTTTGTAGCTTTGACCGATTGTGTAAGCGTGCTGGAAAGCTGAAAATAGTCGGCACTGCATTTTTTTTCAGCCAACGACCACCAAATTTTTCCTCATCAAAGCAGTCATTCTCAAAATGCTTTGAGCAAATCCTTGTGCTGGTGTTTGGAACAAACTTGTAGCGTCGCAAGGCATTAATCCACAATTTTCTTTGGTTTTCATCTTTAGGAAAACTGCAAGAAATGAAAAGAAAAATGTTAGTGAAAATTCAAACATGAGGCAAAGATCCTTGACAATCAATCCTCCTGTATTATATATATTTTTTACTTTGATTTAAAACTAACATAGAAATTTGATCAAACCTAACCGAAATTGAGTGCCCAAATGAGTCATAGAGATGTTAGAAAGAATTTTTTCAGTGTCAGAGTAGTAGACAAATGGAATGCATTAGGCAGTGATGTGGTGGAGGCAGACTCCATACACAGTTTCAAATGTAGATATGATAGAGCCCAATAGGCTCAGGAATCTGTACACGGGTTGATTGACAGTTGAGGAGTGGGACCAAAGAGCCGAAGTTCAACCCCCGCAAGCACAACTAGATGAGTACATTGTATGCACATATATAGCAAGCTCTAAACGTTTAGAGCGTGCATTTGGGAACACCAAGCGCATAGGTTCGAATCCTGATCACAGCTCCTGTGGACTTTCTCAATACAGTAATTATAATATAATAATAATTTACATATACAAGAGTTCTTACATTCTTGTAAAGCCACTAGCACCCATAGCATTTCGGGCAGGTCCTTAATCCTAATTTTCCCCGGAATACGACCCGCCAAATTGGTTAACAACCAGGTACCCATTCACTGCTGGGTGAGCAGAGGCTACAGTTAAGGATTGGTGCCCAGTGAATCCTCCCCGGCCTGGATAAAAACCCAGGCCAAAGCGCTTGCGAGGCGATGAGCGAGTGTTTTACCATAGCGCGGGGACTAATGCTTTAAATACAAGTTGAAACAGCAGAAATTGCAACAGAACAGCAGATAGTAATTTAAATTAAATAAATAGATGGGATACAATTTTCTTTAAGTTTATACATGGCAAATATCAGCAGTTTTACTTAATCATTAATGTTTGATAATAGCAAGGTATAGGTTAAGGTTGGGAAAGTCAAGCCCAGCAGACCACGCTGCATTTCAATATGTATATATCTTTGACAACGTAAATTTGTAAGTCCTCACCTGTGAAAAGTGATAGAACCGCCTTTAACAAATCGTTCCTTGCAGCCATAAGAACAACACGACGTGACCATGTTGTTGTTGGTGGAGGGCTGGGGCAGCTACAGCACACATTTTTTTTTTTTTTTTTTTTTTTTTTTGTCACATCTCTCGCTTCTGCCGTTAAGGTCGTGTGAAGGGGAATAAAACTTGTAATACATCACCTGATGGCTGGAAAAACTACTGCACCTTACAGCAGATAATAACAATGTTAGCAACTCGTCCTCAGGACCTTATGGTCTCATATTTTCCAGATACTGGAAATATTCAAAGTCTGCCTATGGTAGTTACACAATGTACAGTTAATGTATGTTTATTTATTTATTTATTTATTTATTTATTTATTTATTTATATACAAGAAGGTACATTGGGTTTATGAGAGTACAGAGACTTGAAGTTTTACATTCTTGTGAAGCTACTAGCACTATCACCAATTACTTATTTTAGTATTAATTATTCCTTTAAGGCTTAATTATTTAGAGTTATTGTGTAGTCGACAGCGCTTTTAATCGCGGTTGAGAGCAAAATGATCTATTTACTCAAATTTTAATGATATGGCGTTTTTTAGCCAGCTTGTACTTATATACGAAAAATTTCATGTGCAGTATACAAAATTGTCTATGAACGAACTGTGCTAGTGTGTGTGTGTACCAAGCCAACGTTACTAAGTTATATACGATTCGATGCTGTTCGTACCAATAACAACAACAACAACATACGAATCCATCAATTCCTTTTGTATCCCCCATGTGCTGTAGCTTCTCCTAACCCAAAATATCATCATAAATACAAATACAAATTTTTATTCAGGTAAAGTACATACATTCTACATTCACACATTCTCGCACCATCAATAGCCAAACACAGAAAACAACCCAGTGTTCTCTGTTTGGAGGGGGACTCCTGCTGGGGTTCCCCATTAATCTGCCTGACTTTCTTTGACGCGAGGCCACGTTCTTACATTTGGCATCTTAGTGTCTAATGATATGTGTCTTCGATTCGCCTTTAGGATTTGGGATTACCCCTATACGGGTACGCCGGGGTGCATCCCATCCCACGATCGTCGTCGGGCCTAAGTCAACAACAACAACTAACAGCTGACGCCATAAACACAACATCCCGCTCTACAGTTCTGCAAGTCTTCCTCTAACATACGCCTCTGGTTAGTTACTGCGCCTCTATTTTTTTTTTTTTTGAGATATATACAAGAGTTGTTACATTCTTGTACAGCCACTAGTACGCGTAGCGTTTCGGGCAGGTCCCTGGAATACGATCCCCGCCGCGAAGAATCGTTGTTACAACCAAGTACACATTTTACTGTTGAGTTAAACAGAGGCTACAGTTAAGGATTTGCGCCCAGTAAATCCTCCCCGGCCAGGATACGAACCCATGACAAAGCGCTCGTTCGCGCTTATTGTTCCCATAAGGCTGTTAACAACAGCATGACCTTCCCAACCATGTTAAAGACTGTACCTCTCTCAACCAGTTTAAGTTAAAAACGAAGCTATACCTAATAAATTCCATGTAACCCACCTTACCCCTCTGTTGTCAACCCATGTATGTTTTTTGTTTTTTTTGTTTTTCAAATCAACGCTGTTTGAATGTAATTTTCTGTAATAATTTGTAATTGTATTTGTGCTGCTTTTTCAACAATGTTCCCCCTCTTTTACCTCTATTTTTTATATGTACTCATCACATCTTTTCTTTTTACCCATTAGTTTTAAGCTTTAGTCATTAATGTTTTTCCTGCCCGAAACGCTTTGCGTAATAGTGGCTTTAGGCATTGTATGTACTAGCTCTTATCTATAAAGCCAACAAACTTTGTAAAATCTCTTTATGTATGTACCTTACCTAAATAAAAATTATTATTATTATTATTATTATTATTATTAACACTTAACAGTTTCATTCAGCACATGGTCTTGAGAAGCTTATGTCCATGTAAAATCAGGATCCTACTACTGTACAGTTTAAGCTTTGATATCCCCATGGAAACTCTGTGGCGGGATAACTAAATGGGGCACCATATCTCCAATTGTTGATTATTTTCAATGTTTCCTTATGTCTCCATCTACCTTCACTTTCTAATATGTTTGTAGTTACTGAGGTAATCCTCATTCCATAAATTTGTGTTTCGTAATGTAGTACTGTATACGTGAAATGGAAACCAGCATATGAAATTATATTTTACAAATATTTTCTCTCTACAGCACTGTGAAGCAGGTGAGATGTCTGAAGACATGCATAAATATAGAAGAAAATTTCTCAGTAGGAACTAGCCATCAAGTATTGTTTAGATGAATTGTATTTGAATTCTCTAACAATACTTATTGTTTACTCGCTTTACTGGTCACTCAGTAGCAACCCGAAGTGTACTCCATTGGTACTCTGTGGCCACGCCCACAAATGTCAGGCACTTAAAACTATTTAGTCTACCAGGATAAGAAATCAGTAACTTGCTCCCTGAAAGAGATGAGAAGAGCATGTGGTATTCAGAAATCAACCCACTGAGTTCAATTTGAGCAAAAGGTGAAAAGAGTGAAGGGATGCCTGGCTGTTACCTGAATGACGTAGGCTGCTACCTGGCGGTGACTAGGAAAGTTGGGGGCAAGCATAGTTTGCCTATTCTAACTATTGGATGGGTTGGTTTGCATTCCAAATTTATTCTTTATGGGGATGATTGTCTTATAGAGATGTTGGTTGTTTTGTTGCGCTTTTTGACTTTGAGTGATTTAACTTGGAAGTGGATTCATCATCGCACCCAACATACTTACCTCATATCTTTGAGTGGGAAGATATTGGTCCTTGCTCCTGGTAGGTCAAGAGAGTCTTGGGTGCCTGATGTTAAGGAGTGGTCCTAGAGTGAGAGTGCAGTAAGCTCAGAGAGCTACTGAGATGCTACTTGCAATTGTCATTTCATTACTCTCTATACTATTTTTATAAATCTGTTTTCCCTCCAGATTGCAGCAATGACTCTTATACACAATGACAAACTATTGAACTTACTTGAGCGACTGAATATATCTGGAAGTCAAGTGTGTGAAGATGAACTTACATCCATCATAACTTATGTCATTGAAGCTTGTCGAGTGCCTCCTCTCCAGAACGTAGATCTGCCATATACTGAATTAGACTTTGAAGGTGTTGCAAATAATGCTGAAATTCAGCTAAATGTTGTTATACAAATAATTCAAAAGATATACTCTGTTAAAAAGCAAGGATACCATTTTAGTCATTTGTTCATAAGAAATGCTGTGGTCAATTGTTTTCTTGTTGCTTGTGAATTCAGTGATGAAAATTGGGAATGGGTCAATAAAAAAGCAGCGAGTGCATCTAAGAATGTTATGAACAAGTTGTGTGAAGTTTGCCAATGTAAATCTGTAAGAGAACTTCTAAATGGAGAATTTACTGACACTTTGGAAAGATCATATCAGAACAGTGGAACTTCTCTTGAAAATGAAAAAGAAATTAGTTACATAAAATTTATATTACAAGCATTTAGTGGAATATTCAACAAAAATAATTGGAAAACATATCCTTCCCTAAAGATGTCTTACTGGAAGATTCTTCAATATTTAAATGTAAGTAATTTTTCTCTACATATCTTATGTAGAGAAAATATTATTACAGTATTTTATAGTAATAAAATTATTATTATTATACATATTACAGGTATATCTATATAGAGTATGCATATTATTATATGTATAATTACATATATAATATTTTTTTTTTATATAGGGAAGGAGTACCACCTCTGGTGCAAGTGTAGGGACCCATAGCCTCGGAAAATAAAATAAAGAGTACAGTACTCAGAGAAGACCTTGTGGATCCTCACTGAACACTTTGATATTTTCTTCTCCTACCACGCCTGACAGCTGGGTGGACAGCGCCTCGGATTCGTAGTCCTGAGGTTCCGGGTTCGATCCCCGGTGGAGGATCGAAATGGGACATGACAATTTCATGTCCCACTTTTTCCCTGTGGTCAAGAAGATCTTGAAAGAGAGTTTTTTCAGAGGGGCCCTATCCTTATATGGATCTGGTTTGTTCGACCATTGCTTCATCATATCATGTGGTTGCCTTGTGATGGTATCTGTGTGTGTGTGTTTTGGTCTTTGTCCTTCAACTTGCTGTTTCTAATCTGGTATATGCTGGTATTTTGTATAAAAGCATGGTTGTTTAAGTTGCTTTGCAGTATAATGAAATTTAATTACGTAGCAGCAGACTTATCCTTCCAGGTGCTCTCAATGTTATGCGTATCCTTTTTAAGGAAAGCCCCCATTGCCTCAGAAAAGATTAGTTTAAGGCCCTGGCTCCCGGCAGGTCAGGATTGATCATGGAGGCCTGGTGCCTAAAGGCATTTCATTACATTCAACTCATGATTTTTACGAATGCTACGAATATTTTTCTGTAAAAAGAAACAACCTCATCTTACATTATGACATTTTATGGTTACATAATTTTATATGCACTGTATTTTCAAAATAAACACAAAGGAAATCAAATAGTAAAAGTCACTCAAATTTTACACTATTATGAATTGCAAATACTGTATACAACCACCAAGTTGTTTATGTATATGTATATTGCTCTCACAACTTTTCAGCAAAAGACATTGGGAGAGCAGTTGGCATACCTTCTACCTCCTGCACTTTTTATTGTCGATGACTGGGAACAGCGAAACAAAGTGTTGGGACTTAACTGTCTTCTTTACATAATAAGAAACACTGTGAGTATATTATTTTATGTTTACTACATTTGTAAATGTCTTTGTAGAGTACAATAGAACCTCCACATAGAGTATTCCTCTAAATGACAGTCTGATTTTCCTGCAGCATCTACCACCCAAGCAGAAAGAGGCATTTCATTTCATTCAACTTTTTTTTTCTAGACTGGCTCAGAACTTCGATGGTATGGACGAGGAGCAGTAATATACGATGCTCTGAAACCAATACTTTATTCAAGGGAGGCTAAAGTACTTGAAATTTTATATCCAGCTATCACAGAAGTAGCATATATCTTGGAATCGGACCCATCAAATGCAGGGAAGCTGAAAAGTGTGAGTGTTCCATGTAAAAT